GAGCCTGGCGGGCTACAGTCCATAGGGCCGCAAAGAGTCAGACATGACTGAAGCAACTTAGCATGCATGCATGCATTAGCAAAGTATTTGATATATGTTATGTGTTAAACAAATTTTTATTGAATAAGTTATTTGAAGTTGTTACACTTCTACTACAAATATGATAATAGAAAACTTATAATTTATCAGACAGTTATGAAGTTAATAATAATGTTCATTTTGATCTCTTACCAATGCTTTCTATGAATTAGAAATGCTTATTTGAAATTGAGTCCCTGTTTATAATAAAAAGATATTTGTTCATGATTGCCATGAAATAAACTTGTTACTATTTGTCTGTAGATTCAAAAGGCCTAGTTTATCTTCACTGCTTTGAGTAAAATAACTAGCTTTTTTATTGTATACACAGAAATATGAACAACTTCAAGAATATCTCAATTTTGCGGATTACTTTCAAGATGAGAAGTTTGACTGAATTTTAACACATTTCCTTCAGAGAAGATTTTGTAAATTCCTGTAAATGTGAAGATCACAAGTCTTGTTTCTCTGTATCATGTGACATATTTATATATTTTATGTATAGCTTCATGGCAAAATTGGAGAAGGAAATGGCAACCCACTCCAGTACTCTTGCCTGGAAAATCCCATGGACCGAGGAGCCTAGTAGGCTACAGTCCATGGGGTCACAAAGAGTCAGACACGACTGAGCAACTGCACTGCACTTCATGGCAAAATGTCTTGTGTGAAACATGTTTATCTTAATTTCCATGAAACAACATTCTGCAGTCTAATAAAACTTTTATCTACTGTACATAGAAAACACAAGCCTAACTTTTAAGTGTATTTTAAAGTTATATAACAATGCCTTTATATCGGATGACTATCAAGTGAATGAGCTGTTCATGTCCTGTCAGTTTATTAGAAAACCATGTTTTTTAAAAATGTATTTAGATTAACATCTATGTGCATTCCTGCCCAGATCTGCTTATTACCCTTCTGCAGTATTAAATGGTCTTCACTAACATATTTTTTACTGCCATCATTATGTAAATCAGTGGGCCATGGAAGAAGCCTCAGTGTTATGTTCAACTAAATTCTCTGGCATTACAATCAGACTATAGCTTACCCATTCCAAGTAGAGGAATGCTTTTTTCCCTTTTACAAAGTTTTCCTTACAAATATATTTCAGGCCTGCAAAGTCTTCCAATCCTTACATTCAGGAATAATTTCACGATACGTATTTGCATAGGTCATAACGTTCTTTCTTTTTCCTGTCCAATTTTGTCTACAGGTACATGAATAAGATGTATTTTATTTATTTTTATCCATTACTCTTCCCCTAAAAGTATTTACTAGGATCAGAAGAGTTCAGAGAGACAAATTCTGCCAAAAATAGTTTAAAGTCACATTTTGGCATCTACATTGCTTCTAAATTGCACTTCTAAATTTTCCCTTAATATAATAAAGTAAAATGGTTTCAGAATGAACAAATGGACCCTGGCTATTCTGTATCTTTAATTCTTAAAAGTGCTGTTCTGTTAGGGTCTAGTTCCTTGTGAATTTTAGATCCTTGTTTCTTCAGGTGTCAGTTGAGCTTTGCTTCATCTATTATGTGGTTCATGGAATGGTCTTCATTATATACATTAAAAATTGCATTGTATTAAGTCCTTACATAGAGATTTAATATTTTCTACAATTAATTTTCCAGTATTATCCCTATTACAATTGTAAACAAAACAGGTAGAAAGAACTTACAAAGTTGCAAAAATACTGCTGCTGACTTTTCATGTGAAGAGTGCATACCTTTTTAAAAAGTATGAAATAGAAATTTTAAATCACACATCTATTCGTATTCTTACTTGTCTGTTATATGGAAATAATCCTTAGCTATATGAAGGTACAGTTGAAAGTTGAAGATATAGTGATAGTATCCAAAAAGATATATGGCAGAGTTTAGAGAAAAAGTGATGGCCAGTTGGGAAGGGTGAAGATCGTGAATGATTTGTCAAAAAAGAAGTCCAGGGAAAACAAAAGAATGATCTCTAAAGTATCTCTGAAGACCTCGGGAGCATCATTTCTCATATGTGACACTACAGGCAAGTTTGAACCAACTGAGGAGTGAACGTACCAACTGACCGTTAAAAATATTTATCTATTCTTATAAATAGCATTCACTTAATTTATAAAAATGAAAGCACTAATGACTTTAAGGACTTTTTATGGCAGCTGACTCAGTCCCTAGGTCATGCCTCTTGTTGACTTGAAACATTTTTCTTGTTAGAACAGTATTCTGACTGTTGATCAGGAAATGCTGATAAGTAGTTTTGCTGATGTCTGAGGTCACTGCAACGGAGCAAGCTTCTTCAGTAGGTGTTTGGAGAGTACAAGCGACTTTTTTGTACATGATTACACCAAAAGAACTGCAAAGAGACAGGCTGTCAGGAAATGAGAATTAGCATGGATCAGGGGGCCAAAAGCAAGTGGTCTAAAAGAAAACAATGTTGAAAAATCGGAATTAACTTTAGTAGGTATTATGAGGTACTGTATTATTTTATCATCATCATCTTTGATAGCACTGATTCTATATAACAAAAAATAGTTTGTAAGCTTACAAGTCTCCTATCTATGAACTTTTGAGATCTTGACATTTATCACTATGGCATTAAATGCTTTATGTTAGGTAGCTATGAACAGTAAAGATGATGAAGACAGATGGACAAATGAACTAATGCTTTAAAAAAATTGGTAGGGCTCTTATAAAAGCTTTAGGGATAAAAGAGGAAACAGTTCCATAAAAGGGGAAGAGAAGGAAAAAAAGTTTATTTTATTGGCAGCTGGACGTAATTGAGCATATTTTCTCACTTGTCTGCTCTCATACTCAGATGAGTAGTTCTATTCACTACTCATTTCTTGGAGGTATTATAGGACTTGCTTAGACTCCAGCATGTTGATTGAGGTGTAACTGCAGCCCTTGAGCTATTCTGGGTATAGTCTGGTTTCCCTGTAACTCTTTTCACCCTTGATACTGAGGCAGCAAGTCCAGTGGTTAAGAAAGGATAGGTTTGAAATTAGGCTTGAGTTCGAGTCCTGATCTGTTGTTACTTCCTAGTTAAATAGTTTATTTTCAATAAGCCTCAGTTTCCTCATTTATAAATGGGGTTAATAATTTCTCTCCCTCAGGATTGTTGGTCGATTGAGGGAGATACATGCAAAGTACTGTGCCTGAAACAGTGACTAAATAAATAGTAGTGACGTGAGTGGAAACGAGGATGTGGATGATAATGATGTCAGCTTGAAATGAAATGGCTGTAAAGGGCAAATGTGCACAAAAGATGCTGTAAAGGAGTGTCCTACATCACTAGAATATAGTAGGAAAATTTATTAAATTGTTGCTGGACAAGTTTTTAAGGTGTGTCCTTGTCTAGCTTAGAAATAAAAGTTTACATCATTTAGAAATAGCAGCTTTGACCAAAAACTGTTAATCAAAGTCATGCTACTGCAGGACTGTAGAGTGAACAGTAAGTTTAAATTTATTGAAGTGTTTCTCTTTTATCAAATATGATTGCTGAATATAAAGTGCTGATAGTAACAGAAGATAATGTCTAATGAATACACCTTTTTAAAAACCAAGTCTAAAATGATCAGAACTCCTTCACATTTTAATGACACCTCATGAGAGAGTTCTCCTTTCAGATTTGCATACCTTAAAAAGATATTTCTGCCTTTCTCCATGAGTGGTGAGGAACAGCCTTGGAAGGGACAGACAGCAGTATGTTCCAATGAAAAGTAAAAAGTTACATTCCATCAGAATGCAGTTGTCCCAAATTCCAAAGTAACATTCTAGAATTCGTGAAAATGAACTAATGTAAGCAAGCCTATCAAGAACTAAACTGTAGATAAATCCAGGCTTAAAATGTTTGCAGTGATCTTATTCATTTCTATCCACAGCTCAATTTGAAGCAGGATCTTGTAACAGATGCCAGAGGTGGTTTAAATTAAAGCCCCATTGCTTGACACCTCAAATCCAAATGACTTCCAAATGAGCATAACAGACTATATGGTCCTGACTAGAGTAATACTGTGCTCACTTTATTTTATCCTCCATAACTGGTAATCAGCAGAATCCAACATACATTTTGAGAGCTTAAAGGTAGAATTATCTGAAGATGAGACAACTGTGTGTGTCAGAGATCTATTTGTTTTGTGTTAGTGAACTTCTTGAAACTGGACTGCTGCATAATGATTTTCCTTGTTATATATGTAAACAGACTACCGTGAAGGCCCCAGATCTTGCATTAGGTTTGTCATAGGGAATCTTGTATTTTCAGAAAAGTCTTTGTTTTTTTTTTTTTTTTTCCTTTCTGAGAACTGATATGTGTAATGTCATCGTGGTAGCATGTTTTATTCTTGCTGATTTGCTTGTAATCACCCAGATTGACTTAGCCAGAGACAGACAAAACAGGCGAGCAGGTAGACAGACACTCGCCTGCCCTGTAGGAGCTAACGATGTAATTTCTTCTCTGCACCCACTCCTCTGTTTCCCCAATACGCACACACCCTACGCCTCCCTTTCTGACACCCAGGAACATTTCCTCCGTGCTCACCCAGCTCTCGCTAGCGTGCCCAGGGGTGTCAAAGACAACATACTGAAAAATGAAAGTGATATCCTCGGGGGGGGGGGGGGGGGGGAAGGGGGGGGGGGGGGGGAAAAAAACTCCCCTGGCCGGGAATTTCTGCACCATTTCGGGCTGGTGAAGTAGTCGGGTAGAGGTTGGGGAATTTCCCCAACGTCCCCCCCCCTCCTGCCCGAGCCGAGCCGGAGTGCGAGCTGCGCGCGCCGACGCCGAGATGCGCAGGCTTCGGGATCCTCCACTTCTTGCCGCTGGGAGGCCCTCTGCGTTCCCCTTTCCCCGCGCCGGCCGCCTCGCTCGCCCGTGCAGTGGCACCCGCCTTCCACCAGGGAGCCTCGGGCGAGCGCTCCCCCGCCCTCCGCCCCCCACCCCCCTGCAGCTCGCTGGCTCTCTCTTTCTCCCTCTGTCTCACTCTCTCTCTTTCTCTCCCTCTCCTATCGGAGCACAATGAAAGCCTGTGTATCGCCGTGACTCCGGGCGGCGGAGCCAGTGTCAGCCCAGCGGCGAACAACAGACGGGAAAAAGAGAAAGGAAAAGACCGGCTACTTTCTTTTCCATCTCTAAAAGCGGAGCAATCCAAGAGATAGAACCACATTGCTTATTGCGAGTCCAGACCCTCAGATCCACTGGCCGGGGATGGAATGTACAAAAGTGGACAGAAAAGTGGCTGGACATGACTCGGTGCAATTTGCTGGAAGTTTGTAAGTTTGACCATCGTTTGTAAATTACTCTCGGAAGAGTTTGTCTCTCTTGATACTGTATTAGAATCGAGCCGGGGGTGAGGACTAGAAACGTAAGCGGGAAAGAAGAAAAAAAAAAAATGTGTTGAAGGATCTCTCTCTCAGTGGCTAGTGACTTCAGACTGCTTTCATTTAAGGCTGGGAAACCTTAGAGGGAATGAGGATTTTACCGGTGATTGGATTAGCTGAAGAAAAAAGCATGGTCCAGAAGTCCAGTTACTGACATTAACAATTGAAAAGCTGTCTCCCTCTTTGGGGAGAAGACCACATCTACAGCACCCCCAAAGAGGAGAAAACACCGGAGCAAAAGGAAAGGGGGGGGGGGGGGAATTAAAAGCCAAAAGACAGTCTCTGTTTGATTTTTGTACGTTTTGAACATTGACTTCAAAAAGCTTCTGAAACAGCACTTTTAAAAAAAAAAAATTGAGGAAAAGTAAAGGCCGTGGGTTACAGAGACCATGGTAGATATGGGTTTCTCTGCAGAAACATCCCCATAAAAGAATCTTCGGAAACAACGAGGCGAGGGGGGAGTCCAGCTCTCTGTAATACCTCTCACAATTCCCTTTGCTGTCTGTTCCTGTCTCTTGCTTGACAATCCCTGAATTCTTGCTCTAACCCCCAGATCGTGTGTTTACAAAGTACCCAGTGGCTCTTGTCAGCTTGCTGAGTTGGGGGGGCGGGGGGAATCCCCACTAACTCTCTCCAACTTCTCCAGAGCTGTCAGATACAATTAGAGCAAGCTGATCAGGGCTTGTTTCCAACTTATCCCTCTGCCATTGGTTTCTATTCTCTCTCCTCACCCTCTTTTTACTCACTCCCCTCCCCCATTCCTTCTCCACTACGCCCCCCCAGCGCCCCCAGCCTCTGCAGACCTCTATTCATGTGGTCCTGAGCATTGAGCGCACGTTGTCAAAGGCAGACTTGCCTGTGCTAACCAGCCGTAGCCTCCCACCACCTCACCATCCCACAGGCAGCCGTCATTGTGTCCAGGAAGATGGGGGACACAGCGCCCCCGCAGGCCCCCACGGGAGGGCTGGGGGGGGCCCCCGGGGCGGGGCTCCTGGGAGGGGGCTCGGTCACCCCGAGAGTGCACAGTGCCATCGTGGAGCGCCTTCGAGCGCGCATCGCCGTCTGCCGCCAGCACCACCTGAGCTGTGAAGGCCGCTACGAGCGGGGCAGGGCCGAGAGCTCGGACCGGGAGAGAGAGAGTACCCTGCAGCTCCTGAGCCTCGTGCAGCACGGCCAGGGGGCCAGGAAGGCCGGCAAGCACGCCAAGGCCACGGCCTCCACCGCGCCCTGAGCTGTGAAGGCCGCTACGAGCGGGGCAGGGCCGAGAGCTCGGACCGGGAGAGAGAGAGTACCCTGCAGCTCCTGAGCCTCGTGCAGCACGTCCCGCGGCCCCGGCGCCGCCGCCGGACTACCGTCACCACCAGCAGCACCTGCGGAGCAGCGGCAGCAGTGGTGGCAGCGGTGGGATCGACGGCGAGCAGCAGCCACAGCCGCCGGCCTCCGCCCCGGGGGACCAGAGGAACTCGGCCCTCATTGCGGTAAGACCCCTGGTTTTCTCCTCGTTCCGGCGGCGGTCCCGTGGCCTTCGGTCAGGGCGGACGCTGGCCTCGGCCTGGTGCCAAGTGGACGACAGTGCGGGGGGCCCCGGGCCCTCCTGACCACCCCAAAGGCCGCTGGGCGGCCGGTTGGTGCCGTGTTGTTAAACCTTCTTCGTCACGTGCTGCGGTTGCGTATGCGTTGGTGTCCTTCCACCTGTAGAGTAATTCTTAAGGGATGAGAAACTTGAGTTTTCCAGAGTTTTCTCTGGGGTCCGCAGACTGCAGAAGAGTTGGCCCCAAGCGGCAAGATCTGAGCCACTGAAGAAGGCCTTGCCTCAAGGAGCCTCTCACTTTGGCAGGCCAGGGCTGATTAGGCCCGACAAGTCACACTTAGCCTGAAAGCGTTTGTTTAGCAGCCAGTCCAGCTGACCTTTAGCCAAGCCTTTTCCTTCTTGTCCCATTTCCCTTTCCTTCTTTGAAGTGGCCCCTTCTCCTTGGTCAAGAGAACACAAGTGGTCATCCCTAACAGAGCAAGTTCCCTGAGCGCCGCCTCACTCAAAAACTCGGGGAATTCTCCCCAAGACGTGTGAGGGAATGTTTCTGAGAGGCCTGCTCCCTGGTTTCTTCCAGACTCCCCCACTGTCCCCACCTAGCTTCTTTCCGCAGGCACTGCAATCAGAGAGTGCTGACTTGCAGCCTTCACTGAAGTGTGCAGGCGCCAAGGGGCTGTTTCGTTTGTCCTCCTAGAAAGTGCCTTGTCCTCTGCCACTCCTGGCGACAGAGTACCCTACCTGAGAGTTGTGATTCGGTTTCTGGCTGGAAGTTCTTCCTCAGAGGCGCAGACACACCCCACCCCAGAGGGAGTAGCCGTTGACTCATTGGTTCCTGTGCCAGTCCTGGTCGGGTGATCGCCGGCTTGTGCGGGCTTTCCCCGCAAAGCTGCTGGGGCCCTGGCCTCTGGGTAGAAGGTGGAGCCCCGCGGCCCTGTGACCCTGCAAGCTTCCTCCGTTTCTGCGTTCCTTGGGGCTTCGGAAGTCCTGTGTCCACTCGCAGAACAGCTCCCACGTGCCCAAGCCAGCCCTAATGAAAGTCAGCAACAGGAAATGGCCAGCCAAGCTGAAATGTCCTCAAAAAGCCCAAAGGAGAGGAAGGCACTAAGTCGAGCTCTTTCTTGGAGGGGGCTTGAGAAGGAGCTCTGGGGAGAGGGCATCCCCTAGCCAGGCCGCTGGATGCTTCTCTGTGGCTTCTCCTTATCCTTGGCCTGGGTCGTGAAGTTTCTAGAAAGCCTGGGGGCTGAATTGGTTCTGTTCTCTTCCACCACACACACATTTTGCCTGGGATGCCTAGAACTGCAACTTCCTGGTGCCAATTCCAGACGAGAGATAACAGCTAACAGTTAAACTGCTCAATGTTTGTTGTCTTATCCTTGGATACAGTTAGCCCGTGGGGTTATTTCATGCTTTCAGGCCTAATTTCCATTCCTTTCCACCTGCTGTATCCTCACCTCTCTCTGGAATTCCCTACGACAGCAATGGGAGTTTGTTTCGTGAAAGAAAGATGCTGGGGGTGGGGGGAGCGGGTAAAGAATCACTCGAATGGAAAGAAGAATGAGGTTTGTATGTGTCTGTGTCACTGGCATTTGTGGCCAAAAGCATCTAAATGCCTTGATTGTCCTCAGTAAATTTATAATCTGTCTGCAAGTCTCCCAATAATACAGCCTTGTATGCTTCACAGTCTCCTGGTAAGTGTTTCTGGGGTGATACAGGGAACTAGGCACCCAGCCCCAGAGAAGACAGACCTCTGTCCTGGGTGCCAAGCCTGGATGTGGCCTTCACATCCCAGCGGCTGCAAGGAAGGTGTCTGCTTATGGCCTTGTTCTCTCGGTTTTTTTTGCTCTCCTCCCACTTGGAAGGAAGCTGAGGCTGTCTCTTTTTCTTGGGGTTTTGGGGATGCGAAATGAAACCAACTTCAGTGGCGACTGTAACTTTATGACAGCAGTGTCCGTGCCGGCAGCGTCTGGCCTCTCTCGGCTGGAGGCTTGGTGCTATAGAAGCCAGAGGTAGCTGCTTTCTCACCCCTTTTCTAAAGGGGAATCTGCTTTCTCTCTCCTCACTACCAGTCATCTCCTGAAACACCCGCTTAGAGGGGCTCCCTCCCCAAGCACCTTGAGGATTGATGAGATGTGCTGTTCATGTAAGGAGTGAAAAGACCAGTGTATTTCTGATGGTGGTTTTTCACTGCAGACCTGTGCCATGGCAAGGGGTGATCCACCACCCCCTTTTTGGTTATTGGAAATTCCCTTCTCCATTTTAGCTTCTAAATTTGGCGCTTTGTTACTCAGCATAGTACTCAGAGATGGTGATGCAAGTACTGTATTAACCTGATAACATTGTGTCCAAAGGGGAGGCCTGGGCGTTTGGGAGTGATTCACTAAGCCTGTTAAATCTGCTGGTCTCATTTCACTGAGGCACCTCTTCTTTTCAGAAACACCATCCATTTAAAGGGGCCTTTCGCAGAATGGGTGTCAGAATTCTTTCTTACTGCTCTGTCCATAACCAGATTTATTTCTGTCTGGGTGTGTGGAAGGTATCCCTTTAATAGTTTATTCGTATGCCCTAAGTGGCCATAAATGTCCTTTGAAGAAAGGGAGAACATATTGATCATCTAAAATCGAACATGCACAGTGCCCTCAGACGAGAGGTCTGTATCCTGCATACCTGCTGATACAATGCCTTGGATATAGGCAGTAATATTTCAGTGAGAGTAGCAAGAGAACCTGCATTCTTCGGCTGATTGTTGACTTTGAGGGGGGTGATACTGCAAGACATGTACAATGTCTGAGATTTTCAATAGCCTAAGTTTCCAGAACAATGTCAGAATAACCTCCAAGCCGGTTCTAATTCTGTCCACATAGCCTAATTCTGCAGCCCTTACTCAGCCAGTTTCTTCATTTAGCTCAAGTACAAGTTCAGAGGAAGCCTCTTTACTGCAGAGATGGCAGGAACAGGGCCTTTCGGAGGGCCTGGATTGTAAGGGTTTAAGCAGGTCTGTCTTTCTAACCACTTGGAGCAGGCTTTCAGCGCTAAATCATTTCCTGGTGAAGTATGTTTGAATCTTTGAATGAACTGTGAAGCTGAATAATTGCTGGTCCATGGAACAGAAAGGTTTAGAGCTTCCGTGGTGCATTATTAATCTTTCCTTTTTGCCTGAGACAGGCTCTTTTTTGTTGTTGTTGTTGCTTAGACTGTGTTGCTAGGATAGATAGATAAGTGGTTCCAAGTCATCTTTGGCTTCAGAGATTATCTTCTCCCTAACATAGTGTGGAGGAAAGAAAACAGATCGGACAAGGAATCTGTATCCTCGGTTCTGGGCCTGCTTGATCACTAACCAGCTGGGTGACCCAGGACAAGTTACTTAGCAATCATCTGCAAGACAGAACAATAATGCTGCCCTGGCTTGTTGAGAAAACAAATGAATGTGTGTTTCTGGATAGTCTTTGGAAAAAATTAAGCACTGCAGAAATGCAAGGCATTATTACTAGTATTACTAATAATAAATGCTAAACAAGGAATCATAATACCAGTTTTTCCAGGGATTAAAAGTGTACTTAAGCTTTCAGTTGTCTGTTTTAAATAGTGAAATAGCTCTTATTGTAAATAGAGGGATTATATTTCAAATTCAGTGCTGTCAAGATAAAACTGAGATATCAGTGTACTTAAGCGTTCTCAGAGGTCCCAGGAAATCCTAGTTAAAATGTGCAACAGTGTGAAAGTGTTAGGGTCTTTTATGGCCCCTGCACAGACCTAAGCAGCTTCAGAAAGGTGTATCTGTCAGAGTGTGTCAGGAATATTAGAAAAGTAGTTTGCACAAATGGCACAGGAAAGTTAAATATTTTGTCAACAATAGTCTAAAATGTTAATTGTTAGCTTAAGAAAGTCAAACAAGTTAAATCATTGCCAGAGTTCCCCAGTTATTTTTAACTGATAATAATCAAGTTTCCAATTGACAATTCAGAATTGGAGGGCTGTGCGTGGGAGGGGGGCTGAGAATAGAAACACTTCATTGGCCAGATCTGGGAGTCTGTAGCTGTCCATGTGATGAATATCCTCCCTGGGACAGTGATAGGAGTGTTTACATTATTTATATATGCAGCCATCATTTCCTTAAGAACTGACCTATTTTTGTTCTGTTTTCCAGAACAAAGTAATAAAGAGAGAGTTCTTATTTATCCAGGACCTTCCTATGACTTCTTTCCAGTAAATATAAGATCTCACAAAGGCAAAAGAGTTCCAGTGGAGAGAGAAGTTGGTACAATCCTTTATCAAAAATGGATAGAAAGCTTGTTTTGCCAGCAGAGTAGTGTAATTATGTCACCAAGACGTCTTGCTTGTTTAGGTCAGTGTTTGTTTATAGGAGGCCTCTGTTTTCTTTGAAATAATGTCATTGCTAGGTGATGTTTATCAAGTTTTCCTAAAGCTTAAAGTTTGATGCCGTATGACTCCCCTATGCCGGTAAACCTTTTGTTAAGTTACAAGACAAACATGGGTTTTCAAATGAAGTAGCTTGAGTAGCTGTTTTTGTTTTCATTGTTGTTGGTGGTGGTGTGTGTGTGTGTTTAGCCCTGCTATTTAATCTCCAAAAGCTTATTAAGGAAATTTGGGAAAAAAAAAACAAAACCATCCAGTTCTGCTATGCATGGCAGCTAAACCATTCCAAGTAGACTCTACTACTTCCGTGTGCTTTAATCCTGTCTCTTTTATACATTCATAGGTAGGATCATGTTTAAGGAAAACATTTCTGAGTTCTTTCTTCTGCGTTTTCATGATGATTTCCCTCACACGTTGACAGGTTCTGTGGGAGAATAGGGAAATACAGCTAAAGACTTAGTCCGTTCTTACTTACAGGCTAGTTAGCAAATCAAGACCATGTTTACACAGTAACAGTGAAATGCTTAACTAGGTAGAATGGACGAAAACTGATAAAGAAATTCAGAGAGAGAG